TGCATTATTGACACTATTTTCCTAATTAATGCTGTTCAGTTGCTTTGACACAATCTGTATTGTTAAAAGCGCTATATAAATAAAGGTGACTTGACTTGACTTGACCATGGAAGAGGACTATTGGTCGGCCTCAAAGAGATTGGTGGGGCTGTCATGGCTAACACGCCTCTGTAACATCGCGTGGAGGTTGGGGACAGTGCCTCTGGACTGGGCAACTGGGGTGGTGGTCCCCCCTTTTAAGAAGGGGGACCGGAGGTTGTGTTCCCACTATAGGGGGATCACACTCCTCAGCCTCCTTGGAAAAGTCTATGCCAGGGTACAGAGGAGAATTCGGCCGATAGTGAAACCTCGTATTCAGGAGGAACAATGCGGTTTTCGTCCAGGCTGTGGAACACTGGACCAGCTTCAAAGACTTGGAGAAGGCATTCGTCTGTGTCCCTCATGGCATTCTGTGGTGGGGTGCTTTGGGAGTGTCTTAGGTGCTCTGTTAAGGGCTGTCCAGTCTCTGTATGACCAGAGCAGGAGCTTGGCTCGCATTGCCGGCAGCAAGTCAGTCTTGTTCCCGGTGCATGTTGGACTCCGGCAGGGCTGCCCTTTGTCACCAGTTCTGTTCATTATTTTTATGGACAGAATTTCTAGGCGCAGCCTGGGGCCAGAGGGGGTCTCATTCGGAGACCACAAGATTTGATCTCTGCTATTTGCAGATAATGTTGTCCGGTTGGCTTCATCGGGCCTGGAACTTCAGTGTGCACTGCTTTGCAGTCGAGTTTGACGCGGCAGGGATGAAAATCAGCACCTTCAAGTCGAGGCCATGGTGCTCAACCGGAAAAGGGTGGCTTGCTCTCTCCAGGTTGGGGGAGAGTTCTTGGCCCAGGTGGAGGAGTTCAAGTATCTTGGGGTCTTGTTCACGAGTGAGGGAAGGATGGAATGTGATATTGACTGACTGCATTGCTGCTGAAGCATTCATACTTAACTAGATTTGGCTCTACAGTACGTACTTTTTTAGTGCTCGTTAAGTATACTTATTGAAATTAAGTACCTACTCATTGAGTATATGGTTTGGACGCAGCCAATGTATTTGTCATTGAATCATTCCTTCAAGAGATTTGTTCAAAAATGCAGATTCACCAAGTAATGAAACAAGTGAAGAATATGAGATGTGAAAGGAGCGGCATATATACACACACAGGCATGTCTACTCTTTGTTGAAACAGAAGTAATGTATTAAGCGTAGAGGAGAGAAAATGGACGTAAAGTATTGATCTCATCAGGCTAGTATTGACCCGATACCAATATTAACGTTCATATCGATACTATCGATATTAGGATCAATCTGCCCACCGCTAGAAGAAGAAGAAGGGTTGCTAATGTAGACAAACTCATACAATCTCAGTCATGTGTGGAGTAAAATATCGTTTATTAAGCAAATAAAAGCTTTATTGAGAAATTTAAAAGCCCAAAAACTAATTATAATAGATATTAAAACTAAAATTATAAAATTACTTTTTTTTTGTATTACTTTTTAAAATTTTCTGATTCAAATGCAATCAGCAGACAAGAAAAAATGTTGTTGATAAAATATAAAAAGTAAGGATAATGTATTAATAAAAAGGTAACATTTGATCAATAAGAAAACTAATGAGCTGGATCTCTCTCTCCTACTGACTTACAAGTAGGGATGGGTATCGGTAAGGTTTTAATATTCTTACAATCCTGCTTATGAAACGAATGAACATAATATGAAACCCATAAGAAAGCACAATGATATATCATGAAGCAAAATGATATACAGGAATAAAACCTTTGGACATTGTTCTTTGGGGAGAAACTCCATCTTTGAGTTGATCTGAATCTCAGTTAAATCTGCTGGTTTTGAAGATGAAGATGAACTTTATTCAACTTTAGATATTGTTTCTTTGTCTTGTCACTTGTAATGACAGATTTATCCAGTTGATATTTCACTGCTCGATGCATTATTGTGTCACATTTGGTGAGAACACAGCATCAGACCTGAAAGTGCTGGATCTGAAGATGATCTACTTACTGTGATAGTTTTTTGTATGACTGTGTAGAGAATATGAATCAGTGAAACACTTCCCACATGCAGCTCCAGTGTGGATCCTCTCGTGTGTTTTCAGATTTGCTGAATGACTGAATCTCTTGTCACAGTGTGAACACTTGTAAGGTTTCTCTCCAGTGTGGATCCTCTCGTGTGTTTTCAGATTTGCTGAATGACTGAATCTCTTGTCACAGTGTGAACACTTGTAAGGTTTCTCTCCAGTGTGGATCCTCTCGTGTGTTTTCAGATTTGCTGAATGACTGAATCTCTTGTCACAGTGTGAACACTTGTAAGGTTTCTCTCCAGTGTGGATCCTCTCATGTTTTTTCATATTTCCTAACTGACTGAATCTCTCGTCACAGTGTGAACACTTGTAAGGTTTCTCTCCAGTGTGAATCCTCTCATGTGTTTTCAGTTGTCCTGAATCTCTGAATCTCTTGTCACAGTGTGAACACTTGTAAGGTTTCTCTCCAGTGTGGATCCTCTCATGCAGTTTTAAACTGCTCGCTGTAGTAAAAGTCTTCTCACACTCAAAGCACATGTACTCTCTCACACCAGTATGTACTTTCTGATGCACTTTTACATGTGCTGGACGTGAAAAACACTTTCCACACAAATGACATGAATGTGGCTTCTCCTTTGTATGAACTCTCTGGTGTATCTTCAGGTATGAAGCTCTCAAAAATGTTTTGTCACATTGATCACATGTGTACGGTTTCTCTCTAGTGTGGATGTCCATGTGTACCTTAAGGACTGATGAGTATGAGAAACTCTTTCCGCACTGATCACAAGTGAATGGTTTCTCTCCAGTATGAACTCTCATGTGGTCTGTAAGGTTTGATTTTAGTGAGAATCTCTTCCCGCACTGATCACATGTGTGCGGTTTATCTCCAGTGTGGATCATCTTGTGTGTTGTCAGGGCTCCTGACTGAATGAATCTCTTGTCACAGTGTGAACACTTGTAAGGTTTTTCTCCAGTGTGAATCCTCTGGTGCTTTTTTAAACCGGCCGCTGAAGTAAAAGTCTTCCCACACTCAAAGCACATGTACTCTCTCACACCAGTATGTATTTTCTGATGTCTTTTCAAACTTTGTAGACGTGAAAAACTCTTTCCACACAAATGACATGAATGCGGCTTCTCCTTTGTATGAACTTTCAGGTGTTTCTTCAGGACTGAAGCCCACAAAAATGTTTTCCCGCACTGATCACATGCGTGCCGCTTCTCTCCGGTGTGGATGTCCATGTGATCCTTAAGGGTTGATGATTGTGTGAAACTCTTCCCGCACTGATCACAAGTGAATGGTTTCTCTCCAGTATGAACTCTCATGTGAAGCTCAAGAATATGTTTGTATGTGAAACTCTTTCCACACTGAGTGCAGGTGAAAGATTTCTTCGCTCTTCTTTTCTTTAAATCTATCTGTTTGGGTTTTTCTACATTTCTGACATGATTTTTCTCCTCAGAATTCTTCTTTCTCCTAATTTTTTTCAATCAACTCTGAAACAAAAGTAAAAACAGTACATTTGTCAGTAACTCGTTAAAAAAAACTGAAAAGTGAAAGGACATAATAAAGTGAAAGGACATAAAGATGAACCCTGATATAACAGCAGAAAGTAGACAATTCTATTACAAAATTTAGATCCTTTTGATGCAATTTTATAAATTATACGTCCCTGAATCTTTCCGTGAATGAGATACACTGATCTTCAAATGATTACTTTTAAAACATTATAGGCACAAACCTCATGTTTCTATAGGGAGAACTATTAAATATGTTTGATCAACAACATGAAGGATCTGAGGATCCTCAAATACAAACTGTGTGTTGCATTAAGAGAGCAACCATACATTTGTGTTATGTTTTTATTTTCTTGTTTTTACTCATTTATAAAGTTCCCTGAGAGAACGCCTCTCTTCTCTCTGGGTACACATCACTTCTTTCTGGGACTTTTCCAAACTCCCTGAAAACTGCTGTTGTTAAGCCCCTCCTGAAAAAAAACAATCTTGATAACTATCAAATCTACCTTTTATAGGCAAGATTATTGAAAAGGTAGTCTTTAATCAGCTTAACTACAGAAAAGCACACTTTATGTTTAATCTATCTAATATTGTGTTGGTCATACTATACAATAGAGATGGGAGAAAAGATTCTCAAACGATTCTGGATCGATTCTGAGCTTAGTTTTTAACCACAGATGCGCGATGGCGCTGCATGTGCTTTAGAAACTCATCTTGCTTGCTTCCAATTGCTCTCTCTCTCTCTCACACACACACACACCACTCGAACCATCCACACAATGATCTTTAATAAAGTTCGGAAAGGTTGAAGCGAATTACAAGGATATTCGCGCGCTTCACTGAACAGGATGCGCTGTGAGAAACGCGTGCGTTGCTGATGCTTGCAGTGTGTCGTCTCGCCCGTCGGTATTTTCCTTACAAATGCTCTATGAACACCTCCTCAGTTATGACGTTATGTCAATTTCAAATGCTGACGCGCGCTTTGTGAAGAGTGCTCGGTCATGCGGCTGTGCGCGACTCCTTTTAAGTGGTTAAATATACTTGCATCTCAAAATGCTTTTATGACGCGAAATTAATGTAAACACAGTCAGTTATGTCTTAAAGGATCAAACAGACAGGACAAACCACATCTTATATTTCAAAAGAGATCTGTGCATTAGTGTGAATGCAGCTTATTAGATCTCCCGCTCCTCTCACACACACACACACACACACACACACACACACACCACTCGAACCATCCACACAATAATCTTTAATAAAGTTCGGAAAGGTTGAAGCGAATTACAAGGACATTCGCGCGCTTCACTGAACAGGATGCGCTGTGAGAAACGCGTGCGTTGCTGATGCTTGCAGTGTGTCGTCTCTCCCGCCGGTATTTTCCTTACAAATGCTCTACGAACACCTCCTCAGTTATGTCGTTATGTCAATTTCAAATGCTGACGCGCGCTTTGTGAAGAGTGCTCGGTCATGCGGCTGTGCGCGACTCCTTTTAAGTGGTTAAATATACTTGCATCTCAAAATGCTTTTATGACGCGAAATTAATGTAAACACAGTCAGTTATGTCTTAAAGGATCAAACAGACAGGACAAACCACATCTTATATTTCAAAAGAGATCTGTGCATTAGTGTGAATGCAACTTATTAGATCTCCCGCTCTCTATGACGTCATCATAATAATCAACAACAGTAAAGCTGAGAAAGAGAAAAATCACAAACAGCTCTTGAAAGGAAAATGTTCAGATACTCTTAAATACTGAAAGCACTGTTTGTTTATTGCTTGTAAGCCTAGTTCCAGACTAAAATAAATGTTTGAGCTGTCTTAACTGAAAGCAACTTGCACTGACATGTCTTAAAATATATCAGTGCCATTGTTTTGTCTGAAGATACACACCAGTAATGTTTTTTTTCTAAGGCACGTTACTTAGATGTCCTAATTAAACTAAGGCCTAATCCTGGCTTAATCTAAGCCCTGTCTTATATTAGTTTATTTAAAATTATTAACATAATAAAATTATGTTTATAATGGGATATAGGTTTATAAACCTTATATTTTAATAAAATGTTTTAATGTGTAATTTATTTTTTAAAAGTACTTAATTACATATGGAATTAAATTTTAAAAAGTTGTATTAACAAGACTAATCAATAAGAAAAAAATATATAGTTTTGGAATCTGACTGCGACTCCCAGAATCGGAATCGAATCGTGATGTGCCTAAAGATTCCCACCCCTACAATGATTTATTGCTTGTCTTTGTTGAATAATACAGAAGATAAAGAGCTTAAAAAATAACCGCATATTAAATCGCAATCGCGATATTGGTAAAAATAATCGCAATTAGATTATTTTCCAAAATCGTTCAGCCCTAGTTGGATGTGCGAGAACTTTCTTCAGTTAAACAAGGAAAAAACTGAAGTCATTGCATTTGGAAACAAAGATGAAGTTCTCAAGGTGAATGCATACCTTGACTCAAGGGGAATCTTGGTGTGATTCTGGAGACAGACCTTAGTTTCGGTAGACATGTCAAAGCTGTAACTAAATCAGCATACCATCATCTCAGAAACATTGCAATAATTAGATGTTTTGTTTCCAGTCAAGATTTGGAAAAACTTGTTCATGCCTTTATCACCAGCAGGATGGAATATTGTAATGGTCTTCTCACCGGCCTTCCCAAGAAAACCATTATGGCGCTTTTCCACTGCATGATATGGCTCGGTACGGTTCACTTTTGGGGGGGTTTCCACTGGGTACAGTACCTGGTACTTTTTTCAGTACCACTTCGGTTGAGGTTCCAAGTGAACCGTACCGTTACCAAAACGTGACATGTAAACTCTGCTGATCACTGATTGGCTGGAGAGAAACGTCACTACCTGCGTCACTGAACTTGTGACACAAACACAACAGAACCGCTAGATTTAAATCAGCACAGCCGGAAGGATCGAACGCAACTGTTTTGAACGAGCGCACCTTTTTTTACAACCAATAAGTGACTGTTTTGTGGTCTGTTGAGGAAGTACAGACGTTCCTCTCGTTGATAGCAGAGGAGCGGATCCAGCAAGAGCTTGATT